CTGGTTCTTTTGTCCTATTTATTCTAACCTAGATGTTATTAAAAGTGCTGTTAATTACCTGTCCATCTTACCTCATACTCACTCTGAGAAGGGAATGGGCCCATTTCCACAACCATATTGCTCAGATACGCTCTTATTTTCTTCAAGCCTATGTAATTTTTTTCCTGACATTTCTACCTTGAATTCTAGACTCTTTTTTGTTCTATTCTCTTTCTCCAAACTACCATTTTAAGTAAGATTTTCATTCTGTCTCAAGCTGTTACCATTTCACAGTCTTTTCCCTTTGAGACAATGATCTAACCTTGTTTCTTAAAATAATAGACTTTTCCCACTGTGAACATTTTTCAGCCTTTCTTGGTGACATTGTCACACATTTTTTTTTTAAGATTTAAAGAACCCTTCATTTTTCATGTGGGTATTGTGTCACCTAAATTTCCATTATTTGGCACAAGCATTTTTTCCAAATAGATAATGGTTAAATTGGCTTACTAGACTGGCTATTTTAGACTGTTTTATGCAAATATAGAACCAATTGTTTATAAATTCTGTGTAAGGATCATGTTCTGCAGCAATTCTAAATGACATGCCATCATACCACCAAAAATCCTTGGTGTGGATTTTTTCCTTTTGTCTATGATGTTCTCTTTCCTGACAGAGGAAAATATGTTGACCTGGGGTGGGGGGGGAGCAAACCTGCATCCCATTGCCACCACCTACACTAGAAAATGTTATATGTGATCTTGGTTACGTAACCTGGCATCCAGCCTAGTTTTCTGCGGTTTTTCTGGAAGGTTTCCCAAATGCAGGACTTCCTGCGCTGAAAGGACATTTTGCCTAAGATGAGTTGGTAGCCCTAATATTGGGTCACTTTGTTCATACCTCTGTATCACTTACCGTATTTTGCTGAAAACATTTATATACATCATTGTCTTCATTACACTGCTAATTCCTCAAACTTAAAGATCACGTCATATTGATCTTCTATGCCCAATATCACACATAATGCAAGGAACATATACAGTATGAGGTAAATGTTTTTTGGTTGAATGGATCAGTGAGTGACTGTGAAATGCCAAGTCATTTAAAAATAAAAATTTGAGTAAATATTTGTGCAAATTTAGAGTTTCAATCTTGTGTTATATGCTGTATTCCTATTAGGAATTTACATTATTTATCCATAAAAATGTTTTTTTCAGAATTATTCTAAAACATATGGATTTTTCCTCATTCTGTGTGTGCATATTGGCCATCCTCAGTTACCTTGTGTGCTTTAGATTAAGGCTCTATTTTAGTTTATTTCAGAAATGTACTGACCAATTTGACTTAATGTAACTAATTGAAAATTGTCACTTATAGAGCTAACTATTGGTCTCTCTCTCTCTCTCTTTTTTTTTTTTTCTTGGCCAGGGCTGGGTTTGAACCCACCACCTCTAGCATTTGGGGCCAGCACCCTACTCTCTTGAGCCACAGGCACCGCCCTAACTATTGATCTCTTGACAGGCTGCTCTTTTGCTCTCTCAAAATCTCTAAATCACCTTAAGTTTTCCCATGCCTTCATACTAATTGGTTAACTTGGCCCATCAATTCTATTGGCTTGGTAGCTAACTACACACCCAGTCTCTGCCTTCTTAGCTTACTGCTCTAATTAAGACCCTGATCACCTCTCATAGACTGTTTTCCCAGCAAATCTTCTAGCCTTTTAGGCTCTTGCTGCTGGTGGTTACCATTGGACTATCCTGTCACTTGTAACAATCAAAAGCTAGCACTATGCTCAAAATTTAGGGTAGTGCTTCAAGGTAAAGACTAAAATCATAGCATTATTTTCATAATAATGTGGCCCCAAATTTTCTGTTCATTCGTATTTCCTATCCCTCTTCCTCTACCTTAATATTTAATAATATCAACACTCCCCATGTTCTTCTCTCCCTCTGCCCTGGCGTATGCTGCTGTTATGGGAGGGCCTTTGTCAAATAAGATTCTCCTCCTACCCTGGAGGCTTCTAGAAAGTTAGCTATTATGTGAAACTTCTCCTGATTCTCCCAGGAAAAGTTATGAGGAATACTTTGCTTTGTAATTCCACAGACTTGCATCTCACATCACTTCACACTGTAATTATTTTCATGTCTTTCCACTCTCTGTCAATATAGATCATCTAAATTTTTTAGAGGGCAATACATTTCAGTTTTAATGATTTCTTAAGTGCATAAACTTCCCTTCTGTCAAATTTCACGGTTAACCAAAAGATTAAATAAGTGTAATTTAGTCTACCAATGTGGTAATTGTAAGTGGAAATAGTAATGAATACTTTTCAGTAATATTATAAGGGGAGAGTTATTCAAGAAACTGCCTTCCCAATATTGACTTAAGATAATTTTAGCAGTATCATAAGTTCTACATTATGAGTAATATCATACAAAAAAAATTTTGGCCATAAATTTTAACCTTTAGTTTCCAATTAATCAGATACAACTTGTAGGTGCAATGGCTTTGTTTTGAGATAGTCATCCTATTTTTTATCGAAACCTTTTAGAGGCATAAATATTGCTAACAACATTTGTAGTTCATAAATATCTTTCGAGCCTTTATTTTACTTGATTTTCATAGTTCTCTTAGGGTCAATTTGGAATCCTATTTTAAGAAATAATCTTAGACTCAGAGAAGTTGAGTAATTTGCTTGAATTTACATTGCTAAAAGACAAGATGAATATTTAAATTACCTTTTTCTGAAAACATATTTTTGTCATGCTTTGCCTTTTAGTGACACTATCAGGCAAGAACAAAATCTGTAGAGTCGAGATTATGTCTCAGGGCAAAAAAATGATGATATTGTCAACCTGTATGATTTTGACATCATGTAACTGAGTAGTTGCAGAGCCTTCAGTGGGTTTTTTTTGAAATATTACTTTTACTGTAGTAAAATATACATAACATAAAATTTATCATCTTGACCATTTGTAAGTGTTCAGTTTAGTGACATTAAGTACATTCACATTGATGTGTAAGCCATCGACATTATCCATTCCCAGAAGTTTTCATCCTTCCAAACTGTAACTCTGCACACTACTCCCCATTTCCCTTTCCAGCCCCTGGCAACCGCAGTTCTGCTTTCTAATTTTATGAATTTGACTCTTCTTAGGTACCTCATGTGAATAGTGTCATGCAGCATTTGTCCTTTTGTTGTTGTACGTGTCACAGGTTTCTTCCTTTTAAGGCTGAGTATTATTTTCGTATGTATATACATATTTTGATTATCCGTCCATTTGTTGATGTGCATCTGGGCTCTTTGCACTTTTTGGTTACTGGGGCTGCTCCTTCTGTGAACATCGAGGTACACAGTGTTTGGTCTGTGCTTTTAATTCTTTGGGGTCTATATCTAAAAGTGGAATTGTACATCGTAAGGTATTCATCTATTTTCTTAGAAAATAGAGTCAAAAATAAATTGCTTTCAAATGGTTTTTTTTGGTTTGTTGTGTTTTAGTGTTAAGATAGTGATCAGAATAGCTTATATTAAGATTTTTACAAATCTCCTACATATGTCTAGTCCTGTGCAAATTGAAAGTTAAGAGCCCAAACACCAAAAAACACAACTATAGAGAAGTAAATAAAATGTGAGTCATCAGTGAAATAGATTGTTATGTAGCAATTAAAATCATGTCTTGGAAAACTGTTTAATGACAGTTGGGAAATATGTACTATGTAATATTGAATCAGCCTCGACACCCCATCGTAACTCCAGTTTTGTATGTATGGAAGCAAAGTTAAAATGCATAAATGTAAACAAAAATGTGTATTAGCTTACATTTAAATCTTTATAGATTGATTTTCTCTCATAAAAGAAAGCACATCAAAATATGGTAATCACTGGCTCGGTGCCCATAGCACAGTGGTTACGCTGCCAGCCACATATACTGAGGCTGGCAGGTTCAAACCCAGCCTGGGCCAGCTAAACAACAAAGACAACTGCAACAAAAAATAGCCAGGTGTTGTGGCGGGTGCCTGTAGTCCCAGCTACTTGGGAGGCTGAGGTAAAAGAATCACTTAAGCCCAGGAGTTTGAGGATTCTGTGAGCCGCGATGCCATGGCACTGACAAGCACTCTACTGAGAGCAACATAGTGAGACACTATCTCAAAAAAAATTAATTAAATAAAAAATAAATAAATAAAATAAAAATATGGTAACCTCTGATTGGAACTATGAGTGATTTTTTTTTCCTATTATACTTTTCTATATTTTCCTTTTTAAAGTATCCATGTATTACTTTTATAATCCAAAAAGGTATTTATTAAATTATTCTCCAAAGTTATGTTGTTAGTAATAAGAGACAACTAGATAGAATTAGGAAAGTCTTTCTAGGAACCTACCAGGACAATATATATGAAATCAAAGAGCTTAATTAATTATTTTTCCTTAGAAAAAAGTAAAGTAAGATTAAAATACTGAGACTTATAAGTTAAAGTTATAGTACAATAAGCTAGTGTCTGGCATGTCAGATATATGTCTATACTAAAGAAAATCTGGAATATAGTTTCTTATTTTCCACCCCAAACATTATTATCAGAATGTACTTTGGTCCCCCACTTCCAAGGTTCAGTCAGTGGGCAAGGGGGCTTTTTTATAAAGTGACTTGTCCTGTGCAATCAAATCGGTTCTTCTGAATTATAGAGTTTGAGGCTAAATTATTTAGGTAGAAACTATTTCTAGAAGGTTTTGATCCTAGGAACAATTAAAAAGCAAGTTATAACAATTGTGCATTCTTCTAGATTTGCCCATTTAGAATCTGATTTCCCTGTGACCAGCCCAGCCTGTATCATTTAGTGCTCATTAGTGTACAGTTGGCTGTACAGTCTGTTTACGGACTTATATCCCTGGAGTCATTCCTTCGCTTATGTTTAAATTGTACTTCAGATGAAACAAGTCATGCTGTAATGAAGTAGAATTATGACCATAAAAACAAAAGACATAAAGTGTTGTGCATATCTGAAGTATCATTTGTTTCTAGATAATTATATGACATTATCTCGTTTGATTGATCTCCTACGAAGATGTGGAAAACTTGAGGACGTTCCCAGATTTTTCTTAATGGCCGAGAAACATAACCCCAGATCAAAATTGGAGCCAGGATTTCAATACTGTAAAGGACTCTACCTTTGGTAAATCTATTGGCAAATGAATAGTACCTAATATTTCTTTCTCATTATAGATCAGTTAAAATAAGCTTTTCTTTGTAGTCAGAAATATCTACATATGAAAATATGTTAATAGTTTTATTTACCAAACAGATTATAAACTAGTATAAATTTTGTAGTCAGTGACTGAAGTAATTTTTTTTAAACATCTAACAAGGTACACTGGAGAACCAAATGATGCCCTTCGACATTTTAATAAAGCTCGGAAGGACAGTGACTGGGGCCAAAATGCCCTTTATAATATGATAGAAATCTGTCTGAATCCAGATAATGAAACCATTGGAGGTGAAGTGTTTGAAAATCTGGATGGAGACCTGGGGTGAGTACTATTTGACACCTTCTTTCTTTTTTAAAAAGCATTTATTGGGTATCGGGAATATTAATACTTTACAAAAGACACCTAAGTTCTAGGATAGCAATAATGAAAGGTCAGATGTATATATTTAAACTAAAATAGTTCTTCTGAAACAGGCATGAAGTACATTTAAGAGGCTTCCTAGATCAGAAAAGTTATGAAGATACTCCCCTAATTACAGTGTCGAAAATAAGATAAATTGTGGTATGTGACAACTATGGCACAGGTGTCCCCGTGATTATAGCACCCGCCTTACAATGGTAGTTCCATGCCGAACCTTGTGCTCTGTACTTTGCATTCACCATCTCATTTATTTTCTACAACAGTATTGCAGGGTAAGCTGAGTCAACCAATGTAGTAGGATAGTTAGTAATGCTGGAGGCAAGATTTGCAGTGAGTTCTACCTGGCCCGAGGCTCCCACTGGCCACTGTTGTATCCTGCAGGACAGTGGTTGTTTCTGTCAGCCTGTGTTTGTCACTTGCCCTTTCCTCAGAATTGGGCAAGGCACGGCAGGCAGGGCGTGTACAGGATGTAAAGGAAATATAAAAGATAGTTTCTGTTTTTAGAAGCATTTGATTTATTGAAGAGAGAAGGCAATACCTGAAATCATTCAAGCTGGAACAAGACAGAAATGGATATGACTGTAGGACTTCATAGGAACTGTGGCAATGCATAGTGCACACTGGTTAGGGGAAGATGCGTGGACAAGCGGGAGAAAATTAGAACGAGATTGTTGAGAGGTTTCAATGACAGGTTTTAAGGCCTGGATCACAGAGATGAGTAAACGTTTTAGATCAGGGAAGTGGCTTGTAAATTCTACATTTGTTTTAGGAGGGTTAGGTTAACATACTTTTATGGAACTATAGGCCATCCAAGTGGAAGTCTTTTGCCAACAATTTGAAATACTCAGCTAGAATCAGAAGGCAGGTCACAGATTTGGGTGTGTGTAGTTGGGACTCTGTAAATGGCCTCTTTAAGGAGAATGTAGTAACAGAAGTCTAAGAACTAAATTGTGGGCATGCTAACATTTGAGGCCTGGAGGAGGGAAAAAGGTAAGAAAAGGGCGATGTAGTGGAGAGAGAAGCAAAGCTGGCAAGTGTTGCGGCAGTCGGAGGAGGAGAGGTACCTGGAAGAAGGTGCCGACAGTGTGAGAGGTGGGAGGGAGGGCAGAAGGAACAGGCCTGAGAAAAAGAAACGGCCTTGCTGACTGGACCTCATTAATGGATGGATGTATGTGCAGATGTAGATATAGAATAATAAAGCTGCTATTAAATATGCCATTTTTTATACTTAAATGTACATTTTGTCCCATGCATAATTTCTGAAGACCTAACAGGCAGCCTGATGAGGAAAATAGAGGAGACTTATGTGTGTGTTTGACAAGCTTGAGATTCATACCCCACGTTTACCATTTATCAGCTGTGTGACTTTTGGCAAATTACCTCAGCTGTTAGAGAGCCTCAGTTTTCCCATATGTAAAGTGGATTCAGCATAATGAAGTTGGGCAGACCTTGGCATTCCTCCTCCTCTTCTTTCCTTGTGCTGTATGACTAGATACACCATTTGATAATTCTATGATTCTACTTTTATTCTAGATTTATATTGTCTGAAATGAACACATTTACCCGAAATGTGAATATGAAGTTTGACTTTTGTTCTTCATTCTAAAGTGAATTACTTTTTAGTGGTATACTGAAACTATATTAATTTTGTTTAAAAATGTCTTGTAACACTGTTTCACTTTATATTAGAAGCAAATTAGTGACATTCTTCACAAAATATCACTTTTAAATGAATGACAGCAAGGGAAACTGGTGTCCCCAAAGCTCTGATTTCAATCTCGGTTGTATCATGAGCAAATGTGAATCACCTATGTGATTTATTTTTAATTGTATATAGTAATTCATCTGAGAAGCAAGAGTCTGTGCAATTAGCAGTGAGAACAGCAGAAAAACTCCTGAAAGAACTGAAACCACAGACTGCTCAGGGTCATGTACAACTTCGTATAATGGAAAACTGCTGCCTAATGGCTACCAAGCAGAAATCGAATGTCGAGCAAGCGTTAAATACCTTCACAGAAATAGCAACATCTGAGGTTAGTGGATTTTCTATTTCACCCTCATATGTTATTTTTCTTTGGTAGTATAGAAATATGTATTGGTTCATTTTTTTTATTTTCTGAAAATTGACTTACTTTCTCTTATTAACAATTAACATATAGTTTGAGATAATTTTACCCCATGTTCCTTTGTTTTCAGAAGAGACACTGTTACTGTTTTGAATGTTGTTCAAATGATGTATTTAGCACTACCAAATTGTAGAGAGAAAAAAAATTCTTGAAAAATGGCTAAGTTAATGCCGTTGATACATTTATCTGTACTAAATTCTAGAGAGAAGGAATTCTTCAAAAGTGGCTAAGTTAATTCTCAAGGGAATGGCTTTACTCTCTGGAGAATTTTTGTGTCGTGCATGTAGCCTACATTAACTTACTAAGCACAAATAAACACCTGGGCTGCCTTACTGGCTCACCTTTTCATTTATGTGGACTTGGAATTTTACACTGACAACTTAAACTTCAATCATGCAAATAATGATATTGTTCTTCGGTAACACCAAGATATCTCCTGCAGCCTTATTATTATTGTTGTTGTTGTTTCAGTAGTAGCAGTCTTGTAGGATGAAAGACTTTTTCAGTTTTCACCCCACTCGTATCTACCATTTTTCTCGCTGGGTGTTCTGTTTTTCTCCCCTGACACACTGTTGTACAGGGTGGCCGTGAAGATCATGTGCTATTAAATTGCAAACAAACTTTATGCCACCTGTATTTCTTTAATTAACTGATATTAAGAAAGGAATTCTAGACACCCTCCCCATCACCAGTTGTAATAGCTGTGCTAAGTTTGCTCATTGGATTTCCTGTTGTTCTTCCACTTAACAATGCTGTCAGCCATCAAAACCTCAAAATCTATGTCTCTCAGAGGACATACAGAATTTTGCTGTGTTTTGTGGTGGTTCAGAGGTCACAGTGGTAGCAATAAACTACCCAAAACTGCCTATGGTGATCACTCTCTCCCCTACTTTCCAAGACTGTGGAGGGGATTCAGATGTCAGGGATTTGGGTACGATTATCCTAGATGGCAGCATTATTACCCCTGTAGGCTACACTTGGAACAAAACAGCAAGATAGTGTCAGCAGCAGGCAGTGACCTCCTAGAGCAGAGCCCTCTGCGGACCTTGAGGGAATGTTCTCAAGGTCATGCTCGGTTGGACTGGCTTGTGCAGCAGGTGGATGACAGCTGCTGAATGCAGGGAGCAGAAGTAGGACAGTCATGTAAGAAAATCTCTAGAATGTGAGGAAGTTCACACACAAGTGAGGTGTCACAGCTACTGAGCGTGTTCTATCACATAACAATGAGAGTTTATTCTGAGTGGAAACCATTATTCCTACTGTGAAGTCTAAGGGAGAGAAAGCCAAAAGCAGTGAATGACATTACAGCTATTTCATAGAAAGACTATGTCAGTTTTCTGTGTTGAGGAGATAGTATTTTTTTTATCATACTTACATGTGTGGTTAATGATACACTATCTTCAAGTTTGTTTACTAGACATTATTCAAATGATAATTATGTATGAGCTAGGGTTTCGTAAACATTGAATTTTATCTCACATATATTCAATATAATGAATATTTATTAAGCAGCCAGTGGGCACTAAGTGGAAATCACAAAGCTAAATAATGTATGTTCCCTTTTTTCAAATTGCACATAGTTTACAAAAGATGAGATAAGCATGCCAACTAAAATGGCTGTCACACAGGCAAAATGCATTACATTCTGTCCCGGAATTGAGGATAAAAACACTATTGTGAACAATGTAAGAGAGGTGGGGCGCCCTTTTGTAGAGAAGGTATGATTTTAGAAACAGATGTGATTTGAAGAACCAAGGTAAATCCCTGCATTATCACAGGCAGAAATGGAGAAAGTGTGTTCCAGATCATAAGGAAGGCGTGAGCAAGGTCAGGGGGCAGAGAGCGTAGGGTACATTCATCACGTATGTGTCATTTAGAGGAATTGAAAAGAGATGTGTAACAAGAGGTTATGGAGGAAATTGTGGAAGATGCATTAAGCCCACGCTAAAGTGGTGCTCTCATCACATTCCCTTGAACTGTTACAGTGTGTTGTTTATGATAGAGCTGTACAGTCCAAACCTGAGTCTTGTCCTTTGTGATATAAAGTTGTTGCAGTTTAGAGTGACTGAGAGTGAGAGAGAGAAGTTGGCTGAAAGTCTGAGCATGTCTGCAGAAAAAAAGGCATCATGGTCTCAGTAGGGATTAGTACTCAGCTTTGCAGTTTCAGCAACTATTTTTCAGTTCACTCAGGATTGATCAACATGTGAAGAACTGATTGATTCTAACCAAACTTAAGGTATGTAGTTTTAAAATCAGAGAGCCTGTTTTTAAGTTGAATAGTGTAAGATCTTTTCACAGGACCCCTCTCTTCAGAGACTGCCCTGGGACCTGGCTGATGGGCACATAGCAGACGTCTATTCTCTGTCCTCTCTAAGCCCACCTGGGGTTAGGGGTGATGGTGAAGTGAAGGAAGGCTCAATAACTGATCACATCCCACACATGTTCTCAGAATCCGCTACCAACTGGTTAGACTTGGCACTCAAATGAAACAGTTGCTGTTCCTTCCCTAGGGAAATAAATTACATACTGCAAATTTATTAATAGAGAATTAGAGCCAAAGAAGTTTTTATAATCCTAAAAGCCATTTTATCAAGCCCTAATGAATTGCCAGTCTCTGTTCCAGAGTTATTTCTGACTTCCAACCATGATCAGTGTTGGGAATTGAACATTTTGCCAGTCCACTCTTCTTCTGCAATATTCCTTATTAATTATGCAAATTTGCTGTGATATTGTAATTTCTAGGTCACAGTTTCTCACCACTTTTTTTGTTTTTGTTTTAAGCTTAGACCTACATCTTTACAAAAATTTCATAATCTCTCTGTTGAAATTTAAGGAGCACTTTAGCTTAATCAGGGATGTACACGTTATTGCTTAAGTACATTAATTTTAAGACTAGATTGCTAATGGCCTCCATCTCATCCCAACTGTTACTAACCTGGTCATTTTACACAGTGACATCTTCTGAGTGTGAACTCTGTGTGAAAGAATATAATGTTTTTTAGACCTTCTCGGAGCTGCAGACTCCAAATCTAAAAGCATATGTGAAGGCTTAAGTTTATTTTTTGCAATCTCCAAATTATTAATTAATTATAAGCCTTATTTATAAGACTTTATTGCTCATGCTTTATTGTAAGAAGAGGTTTTTCAATAAAAGGAGAAGGGAGGAAAAGCAGCATATGCCTGAGTATGGCGAAGTATGGTTTTCGCAGGTAAAAATCACTGTTTGCTTTTCCTCTGTGACAGATGAGAGAACTAAGGAGCCAAATGGTGAAACTGAAATGCAAACTGCTCCATAAGGATCTTATGAAAAATAATTTTATTTCTGTTTCTACACAAAACTTCACCATGGCTATTTCGGTGGCATTGCAGATGGAGCCCCCCTGGTTGTGGGGATTGTGTTGTCAGGGGATCCACAGAGTTGTCCTTGTCCTGAAATACCTTGACCTGGCAGTGCCTGACCACGTCTCTTTGTGGTAGTTTGGGGCGACTTGATATGTTAAATGGTGGTTGTCATCACAGTTTTCGGTGACAAAGCGAGAATGAGAATCCACAGACTCATTCTTAGATTATGTAGCGTTTTTCTGCTTTTCGTGTTTTTCTTTTTTTTTCTAACAGAGGACATTTATATTTGCGTTCTACTGGTCTGAAGTTTCATTTTCTTACAGAAGGATCATATCCCCGCACTCTTGGGAATGGCAACGGCATACATGATCTTGAAACAGACGCCAAGAGCCAGAAACCAGCTGAAGCGGATTGCAAAAATGAACTGGAACCCTATTGATGCCGAGGAGTTTGAGAAGAGCTGGCTGCTGCTCGCTGATATTTACATTCAATCAGCAAAATACGACATGGCAGAAGAGCTGTTAAAACGGTGCCTGCGTCATAACAGGGTACGTGATTGAGGAGGAAAAAGCACTTGTTCACTGTGGTCGCATAAGCTTTGTATAACAGGTATTACGGGGTGGCGAACCTTTACAAAGGATTCCTGTGTGTTTCTGGAAAAATCAACGTTTATTCTTAACCACAATCAGGAAATAAACATTAAGTAAGCAGCCATTTACCTTTGAAAGTGAAAAAAAAAAGGAGAGATTTCCTCAGTTCCAAGGTTCAACTGTAGTGAGGTCCTCCTGCACCCGTTGTGTTTTTGGAATGTGAAGCATTCTCCTGATTATCCATCTAGACCCAGAACGAGTGAAAATTGCAGAAGAACATTAATTGCCGACGTCTGTCCCTCCTAAGAAATGCTCCTGATGAATTTCCTGAACTGCATACCATTTCCTCATCAGTAGCATCCACTATGCATAATATGCAGACGCTGCCCCAAAAATGTAGACACATTTTAAAAAAGGGAAAACTGTATTAAAATTGCAATACTCAAGGGAAAACTGTATTAAAATTGCAATACTCAAGTCACTTTTGACTTCTGCAACTACAAGAGACACACGATACAACATACGAGATAACAAACATTATTGGTATATACGAGTGTTAACAATTTTAATACACTTTCCGTTCTTAAACTGTGCATACTTTTTTTTGACACCCTCTATTTTGTGAGGTAAAGTCCTTTTGGCATTTAATTTGTTTTTTTAAATAAAAAGGCCTTCCCTTTCTAAAGATATAAAATTGAAAAGCCTTAGAATTTAAGGTTTTTTTCAAGTTAAGATTTGTATCACCTTTATTTTATTGAGGAAATCATTGCGTTCAACTTAGAAACTTACTGAGGTTTATCTTTACAGATTCACACTAGTTAGTTCAAAACCTTAGTCACAGTCAATCTGTTTCATTCTCTCTAGGCAGATTACAAGTGAATTATTTGGTTTTTAAAGAAGAGTCATGACTATCTAATACTATTAAGATGCTTTCTTCGGAACTTAAAAACCTAAAAGATCCAGCCATTTATCAATTTATGGACTTTTCTAAGTCATCAGTTATATCAATTTTAAGTTAAATTGGCCTTAACAATCAAAAAAATACTCTTTATTAGGCTTTGAAATCTAAACTGCTGAATAGTTGACACTTGTGTGTCTAGTCTAGGATCAACAAGAGTGCATGAGAATTAGGATTTTGGTGCACACTGAGTTTCAGTCTGCCAGTGTGCAGAAAACTAATTGTTTAATGGTGAAAATGGTAGCACTTAAGAGACCTTTTTCAGCCCTGCTTGATAGACATGTTAATATTGGAAGCATGAGATTTGGTAACTAAAGCTTAGGAACCTTGAATTATTCAATTAAATAAAATGGAAACCCCTGTAATCCCAGCACTCTGGAAGGCTGAGGCAGTGGATTGCCTGAGCTAACCGGTTTGAGACCAGACTGAACAAGAGCGAGACCGTGCACCCCCTCCCCCCCAAAAAAGCCAGGCATTGGGCAGGCACCTGTTGTCCCAGCTACTCAGGAGGCTGAGGCAAGAGAATTGCTTGAGCCTAAGAGTTTGAGGTTGCTGTGAGCTATGGTGCCACAGCACTCTACTGAGGGCAACAAAGTGAGACTGTCTCAAAATAACAATAATAATAATAATATAGAATAGAATAGAATTAGAATCCATCCAGATCTGGGCAAGATGACACTAGACTATCTTGTCACACCAAATGGCAAGGAAGTTACAAAGATGAGTAGATTCGTGTCAGAATCTCAGAAGCCAACTTGGGAACACTCCCACAAGTCAAGGTTGGAACTCTTCAGAATCAATAATAAAGATAACTGCAGTAGATTGAAACACATCACATCTGTTTAACTCCATGTCTTCACAAAGCTCCAAAAAAGAAAGAAAACCTCACTGGTCACCACTTCAGGGTGCAATGGACTATTGTAAAGCTGGCAAATGAAGGGAAAGAATTAAACATTTATTCTGCCTTTTCTGTACAAACTATGCCATTAGGTAACCAAATAGTAGATAAAGAGAGATTTCTCATTGTAGACGTTTTTCAATCTAATAAATGAAGAAAGATCGGTAGAATATCACCATTTTTCAACTTTAATATATTTACGTATGGGTAAAACATTATAAAAAAGATGGAGAATGAGACACTCTGTGCTTCCTACTGAACATACATCAAAGAGAGGGCCAAGGCTGGAGTGAGATAAGTGAAGCAAATAGTAATCTAGATAAGTAATAATTTAATGCAATTTTTTGGCTAGTGGTTTTAATGAAAATATTGTTGACATTTTTTTCCATTAATGTAAAAAATGTAAAAATATAATAAATTTGACTTAGGTATAAATAAAATATTCAATCTTAAAATAATGTTGGATTTTAATATTCCTACTTTCTAATTCTTCAATATTTTTAAACTGATATTCTAGAAAGAACTTGTGGTAAAAAAAATATGTTAAAACATGCATCCAGGACTGTACATTTTTCCTTTTGCCTCAAGATTTGATGTGGCTGATCAGGGCACTGATCTGTGAAATAGATTCACTCCTCTTATCTCTAATGAAACCCAGATCCAAACCACTAGATCTGATTACAATCTGGGGGAAATGTCAGAGACGTGGGAATATATTGTATAACATCACGAGGATGCCTTCAACTGAATCTAGGTTGTGAGAAACTCCAGGATAGTCTTCTCTCTACTACATTTAACTTCAAGAAAAAAGACACAGTGATAATCAGAGGGGAAACCTCTGTCTAGATCAGAACGAGACCTAGGAGACATTTCAACCAGTCACAATACACATTTGTATTGTGTACACATTGGGCCTTATTTGTATCTTCATTGTAATAAACTAAAAAATATAGATACAGTACAGGCAATTGGAAATTAGAATAATGATGGGATATCTGGTGCGGTGCTATTAAGGAATTGTTCCATTTTAGATGTGATAAATTGTGGTTATGTTTAAACAAAGTCTTTATCTTTTCGAGTTATATACTAATATGTTTATGGACGTAACGATAGGCTATCTGAGGATTTTTTCTAATGGTACAGAAGGACAAATGTAGGAGTAGAGGAAGAACAGGGTGAGTCGGGAATTAATTGTTGAAGATATGCTGTGGGTTCGTGGAGTTCATTGTACTCCTACGTCTGCATTTGTATGTGTTGAAATTATCCATAATAAATAGTATACATGGACTTGTATAAAATACACATGCCCTCATCTGTATTTCTGATTATGTAAAAAAAAAAAAAAAAAAAAAAAACCTGATGCTGTAGGACTGGGAGAAAGATTTGGTATCAGAATCATTTGTTAAGGTCTATAAACAATTTGATTGCATCACTAAAGTGGGAAACCATTGTTTTATGTGCCGTTTAAGTGGGTCAGCGCGATTGACTTCTATAGTCATAAACATCCCCAAAATGTAAAGTCTGAGTAGTATCCAGTTTAATCTGTTGATACATTCTCCATTTTTCTTCAGTCTTGCTGCAAAGCTTATGAATATATGGGATACATTATGGAAAAAGAACAAGCGTACGCTGATGCTGCCTTGAACTACGAGATGGCGTGGAGACATGGCAATCAGATGAATCCAGCCATTGGTGAGTGTGGCAAATTAGACACCTTCATGTGTTCATAGAAAAGTTGTAAATCGTTTCAATATAGCTGATATTTTAGGACAAAATATACATTAAAAGCCAACTTTCATTGCAACCTTACTCTCTAAAAAGAGAGTAAATGTTATGTTCATGATGAATTGTTAGCTACTAGTAGTAAGATAGAATTTCCTGAGGTCCACACTTGTCTTCAGTCAGCTTACAGGGCATCTAGTCCTAATTCTGCCCCTTTCTCTCCCTTCACCCTCTGCTATTTCAGAATGGTATTACTGTGAGGAAAAGTGTACCATTGTCGAGTAAGTTAGGAACACATTGTATTAAACCACGTTCAGCTTTCTTCACTGTAGAATTTCTGAAGGCCCTTAAATACCCATGTATATTGTGGATGTCAAGAGAGGCCATGTTTCCCACAGTTATTTGGCCACGAGATACGTTTTTTTTTCTCCTGAGTATTTAGAAACATCATTAAGTTCCAGTGTCTGCTGGTTTGTATGTCCAAACATATCTAAACATGGCAAATATGCAAGAGAAATACGGAATTATAATCCTATGGTACCACCATCATATGTAGTCTATTGTTGACTGAAACATCATGCTGTGATGCATGATTAGATATAAAATATCATACATTTTAGTTCACTTCTATTTCTTATGATTTACTACTGCCTGATTGTGTTATCCAGCAATTCTGTTCAAATATTTGTTTGATCCCACCATGTATACCATGAATATGTACAATTTGTCAATTGAAAAAAAAAAATTTTTAAAGAATTTGTTGGAAATTTTTAAAATTTGTTTTGGTACTTTGGTGAGTAGAGCCCAAGAGCAGCGTTCACATTTCCTTAATTCGTATTTCTGTCTGAGCAGCAAAGTGAAACATTTATGACATGTTATTTGACATTGTGTCCTGTCTTGTTTACTGAGTACACAGCTACTATGACTTCTGTGTCTCCTCTTTAGTTTTCTCTTGTTAATAGCATTCTACAGAACAGTCATTAACGTGTTTCTTAAAACATCTTTCTGATGGTCAGTAGTTGAAGTGTGACAGCTTGTGGTGACTCTCACTGTCCCTGCTGTGGGACATGTGGTGGCTAAGGCACCTTCCTGCCTGTTTGTCTGTCCTGCGTGCTGGGACTTCTCACCACACACTCCAAGCTCATCCCATTCCTTATGTGACTTTGTCATATGTGACTTTGACATATGCTTCTGCCTCTTCCTGAAAGTGTCCGTGATCCCCCCGGCCTAGTTTGTGCCTCGTCCTTCAGATTTCAGGCATCTCCGGATGTCCTTTTTCTCCCCTGGCATGTTCTCTATTATAACTCACGTGACTTGGATCTTTCTTTCATAGCATTGAAATAATTTCAGTTGTGAAATTCTTTGTTTACTTATGTAATTATTAATGTACCCTCTCTCCTAATAAAGTGTAGACCTCAGGACTGTAGAAACTGGTCTGCGTGAGTGCTGGGTGTTAAATAATCTACACTGTACCAATGGACAACTGCAGGTCGTGTATTGCTCTTATGATGAGCTTTTTCTGTAGAGACTTTTTTCTAGTAAGTTCCAGAAACCACACTCACAGAATGGCAGTTAACACAACAAACAGTGTATTCATCTGGGCCTTTTTTCTATCCCTATTTTTTTCTACTTTCTCTTCTTTCACTTCACTTGCCTTCTGTTATCTGGTCACGTCTCTCTATGGTAGTTCAGTCTCCAGCCTTCTTTAGAAGTTCTTAGTGAGTAATCAAACAAAGGGAGAGGCGAGAAAGAGCATTAATAATAGTAACAGTTGCTCTATAAATAGTGCTATATCATTATGGGTTTTTTTTTTTCTTAACAGGATACAAGCTGGCATTTAATTACTTAAAAGCAAAAAAATATGTGGATGCAATTGATGTATGTCACCAGGTAAACACTTAAATTTAGATTGCTTAAAATTTTTCAGATGTACAATTTCTGACTTTAAGAATCTGAAGATGTGTGTGAATAGAAGTGGAAGATGTAGTAGTTTAGTCAAATGAGTTATCAAGTATACTCCAAAGAGATTATCCATGTTCAAAATTCAGAAAGTAATAAAGTTTACCTAAAACAAATACGTTTTTACTTTAAAATCAACAATAAAATGTTTATGTCAATTTAAAGACAAAACAAGTGGTAGAAGTGTTAAGTAAAATTTATTCTTTAAGTTAGATATTTGAAGATGAAAGTTTCTCCTGATCATTGTCCTGAGTAAAAGTTCTTGCAAATGTGTCTAAGTCTGGTTATTAGCAAATTCAGATCGATACATTAGAGATAAAAGAGGTTCCGTGATTTAGCAATCATTACATTTTATAATTCATCCCCTACTCAACTACTCAACTAAAAATGACAAAAATTTAAATTTCAGTTTTAGAATTTACAGTTTTTTATATGTACATTGTCCCACTGACATTCCACATAAGGCATTATGTTAAACATTGTAGAGAGCCCGGAGGAAGCCTTAGAAAAGAATTCTGTAATGTCCTGGGCGGTGCCTGTGGCTCACAGGAGTAGAGTGCCGGCCCCATATACTGGAGGTGGCAGGTTTAAACCCAGCCCTGGCCAAAAATTGCAGAAAAAAAAGAAAAAGAAAAAAGAATTCTGTAATGTCCTTATCCCAGAAAGCTGTGTATGGTATCCTTATGGTAAATACTTGTCCTCAATAGTTACTGTTGAGGACTCAGCCTCTCTACAATGCAGTTTTTTTTGGTTTGTTTTTTTAGCGACAGAGTCTCATTTTGTCACCCTCAGTAGAGTGCTGTAACATCACACTGCTCATAGCAACCTCCAGCTCTTAGGCTTAGGCAGTTCTCTTGCCTCAGACTCCCGAGTGCTGGGACTTCAGGTACCCACCACAATGCCCGGCCATTTTTTTTTGTTGCAGTTTGGCTAGGGCCAGGTTTGAACCCGCCACCCTCAGTATATGGGGCTGGCGCCCTACTCCCTGAGCCACAGGTGCCGCCCTGAGTGTTTTATTTTTTAATTAACATCTTCCCACTTCTATACTCAGTAGACCTGGAAATATGTATGTCATAAAATCATTTCAGGTGAATCTGATGCACACTGCTGGTTAAAAATCACCTTCTGAATTAACTAAATAACAAAAATATTTTAAATTGATACATGATTGTTTGCTACAATTCATCTACTAAGGAAACAATTATATTTCTTATAGTTTCCACATATGTTCTTTATATTCTACTATTGTTATCAAATTAACTTAATATAAATGAGTCATCATGTTACATTTAAGATGTCACCTTTAAAAAATGTTATAGCTCGTATTAGTAGAATGAAATTACAACTATTTTGTTGTTGTTGTTGTTGGGGATTCACTGAGGGCACAAGAAACCAGGTTACACTGATTGCATTTGTTAGGTAAAGTCCCCCTTGCAATCGTGTTCTTGCCCTCAAAAGGTGGGTGAAATTACAACTATAATGTAATGCTCGTTTCTAGTGGGTTTTATAGCGCTCTAGTTTTCAATATTAATTACAAGTTCTAATGAGTTTTTTGGTTTGTTTGTTTGTTTTGCAGGTTCTTGAAGCACATCCATCTTATCCAAAAATCAGAAAAGATATACTTGATAAGGCCCGTACGTCTTTAAGACCTTGAGAAATAATTTTAACTCAGTTTGTTGGTGAAGTGAGAAATGAAAGGCATCTAGCTTTGAGCTCTTACACTTCCCAGCAGGTTTGAAGTGATGCCGTGTTACGGAAGCTGCTTTCTCCAGCAGAGGCTGCTGCTGCTCTCAGGCACGAGTGCCCTGTCACATCCAGGTTTCTAATGGAGAAGCTGAATGAGAGCTGATCTATTGACTCTGTTTTGATTTGGTACAGATTTGGTGGCACTCTGGCTAAGACTAGAACCCTTTCTATAAAGAATATTTTGTTAAAATCTCGGTAATTAAATATCCTGTATCTTTTCTAAGGAGTGTTGATTGTTTATTTCAGGAAATATATTTAAAGTGTGTTGTTCTCTGTAGAAATATTTTTTGTTATACTCTATGTTGTTTCAAAGATTTGAGTAAATTTCCTTGTAAATAATTATAAGACAGATAAGACATATTTTAAATATATATTTTAATAAAGATTTTATAAATATATGGTTTATATTCCTCTTGGAACTAAGAAGACATCAGTTTTGCAAAATCAGGGTGAACTCCCCACGCAGTCTTCTGTGTTAGTGGCTAGCACGATATTGTAGAAAATGGGACTTTCATAGAAAAACCTTTTTTGGAAAGGTACAAAGAAGGTGAGTTTCCATTCTCTCTGTTGAGCTCATTCTTTCCACTTTCAATGCCAGTGTGATCTTCAATAATCAGGATCTGAAATTGGTTTAAACAGATAAACCCTTAAAGCAAAACGTAACCCTCATGCAGCAGACTGGGTATTTTGGACACTATAATAGCTGATGGAGAAGGGTGACAGCCAGCAGGGAGTCACAAAGCTCAGCACGTGAAAGCAATTCCAGTCATTCCTCTTTGTCACCTATCTTTTATTTATGGGATTACATAAACAATGTCTAATAATAAGAGATATTTATAAGACATTTCATATGTGTTAAAATAATTCCATGTGTTTACTACATTATATCTTCACAACCCTATAATACAGATGTTATTATCCCTATTTAATGGATCTGGATTTGTGAAAAATCATCTCTTGTTTCCTGATTCAGGGGGAAAAAGTGTCTTTTAGCCTGAATGGCCATTATTAAGGACATTGCATGGTCTTCGCATAGAGTCCTTCAAAATGCCTGTGTTGGCATTCTAACCTCTGCTGTGGTGGGATTTGGAGGTGGAGCTTTTGAGAGATAATTAGGTCAGGAGGATGAAAGCCTGATGAGTGGGGACCCAAAGGGTCGTCTAGCTCTTTATACCATACAAGGATGGGATGAGATGTCAGCCTTCTGCAGCCTGGAAGAGGGCCCTCACCAGAACCCAGCCGTGCTGGAACCATGGGCCTCCACAACTGTGAGCAATGGATTTCTGCTGTTAAGCCAACCAGTCTCTAGTATTTTGTGATTGCACCTGTAGCTGACCAAGGCAGAAATTACATAATAGAATAACTTTAAGAGTTCCAATGAACTTTGATTATGGGATGCTAGAATCATAGAAATTGGATAGAGAAATTAGAGCATCTAATTTGATATATGGTGTGAAATGCTTACATTGAACTGATTCACATATCCATCACCTCACTTACTCATTTGTTGTGGTAAGACAATTATACTCTTTTCTCAATAGTTTTGGAATTACCATTGCATCATGCACATTAGGTGAGGTCCCCCCAAATTCCCTCCCCCACCCCTCCCCCTCTCTCCTCTTCCTTTCTACTTTCTGGACTATGTTTATATTTATGTTCACATGACTGTGTGGGTGATTATGTATTGGTTTCATAGTAGTGTTGAGTACAAATCAGTACACTGGACCCCATAAATGATCAATGTACACAGTTATGATTAAATAAAAAAGAGAGAGAGAGAGCTGGAAGTCCTAGCCAGAGCAATCAGGCAAGAGAAGGGAATCCAGATAGTCTAAAGGGGGAAAGAAGAGGTCAAATTACCCCTTTCTGCTGATGGATGACACAGTCTTATGTATAGAAGACCCCAAAAGATCCAACCAAGTGGCTCCTGCAATTGATAAATAAATTCAATAAAGTCTCAGGTAACAAAATCCATGTACACACATCAGTAGATTTCATATACTCTAATAACGGTCAAGCTGAGAATCAAATAAAAGGTGCGATACTTTTTTCAGTAGTAAAAAAGAAATACCTACCAATATACATTTTTGTTTATTTAGATTGCAAGTTCCTACTAATAGCGTCTGTTAATTGGACTCTTGTATTAATTATAGTAAAACACAAAACTATTCTCAATTTAAGTTTTGTACTTAATCATCGTTAACTACTACAGAATTTACTGAACCACTCTGTAGAACATTTTTTCTCACATATTGTCATAGATAATTTTTATTTTTTATTATTTATTTATTTTTTTGACCCATGATTCTGTTTTAATCAAATCTTTTAGCATCTTTGATAGGATTTTGATTCTGGAGAAACCTGAGTTTAATCTTTTTGGTGAAAAATTAACTTTGAAATTTTTCCATTGGACCTTCTGTTGTTTTTTGAGAAGTATATAAACTTTTCCTGTTTTTTTCTTGGAATAAAGTCTCCTTTATTCCCAGACTTCTGGTCTGGGAATTTTTATTAAGGATTTTGGAAACCCAAATGGTAGAAAGCATTAGTTTTGTCATTCAGATCATTGCAACCATCACTAATTCCCCCTACATTGTCTCCTGTCATTTTCAAAGAGGAAATAGCAAATTTAGAAGTTGTTGGCATAATGATTAATATTTGTACATACTTTATTAGAATTAAAACTCATTTTAGCTTCTTTGAGCCTCAGTTTCCATATTTGTACAAGGATGATAAATATACATTTTAAAGTCTTTCGGAGAAATAAAATTACACATAGAGAGTGCACCTGCTATTGTGGGTGTTCAACGTATTTTTACTTCTTGGATTTTAAGTACATTTTACATTAAATATTACTGTATAATTTTTGCATACTTGTGTTTCTTTTACCTTTAAATATTACCTTGTAATTTTTGAATACTTATATTTATTTTAATTATTTATATCAAATAATTTGTCATTCACATGTCAGTTCACTTAATTTTTTCAAGGCATCAATGTCAAAGATAGTCCAATTCTATTAAAAAGAAAAAAGAAAGTAGAACATCTGTCCTCCTAGGAAGACATTTCCAAAGCCGTTTTCCTTTCTATAAAATGAGGGTTGTCTTTATGTTCGTTTGTGAAACAGCCTTTTTTTTTTTTGCATCTGCCGTTTGTTAGATGTTATTCTAGAGACTTTCTTTACTTCATGTCTTTTAGTTGTCACTTAACTCTCCAGAGAAATAATATTCTTGCTTTTCAGATGAGGAAGACGAGGCTTGAAGTAAATGATTTGCCCCAGGTCACAGGAGAGTATCAGAATCCAGATTCCATGTCGGCCCAGCCACCTTCACTCCTTACTTACCGTGTTGAGAAGCTTTCCATGTCTCAGAGTGATATAAAACTCAGTCTTTGGTTAGCAGATTAAAATAAGTGTTCTGTCACAGAGATAGCTAAGAAATGAGGAGCAAAAGGAACTGAGTGGAATGAACCATCCTTAGAAATAGAGAAACTGCCAGAGAGAAGTCTTCCTGAGGAGCAGAGTGGCATAGCAGTCAAGGTCTCCCTGAGGAGCAGAGTGGCATAGCAGTCAAG